AGGCACTAGCTATGTTCCTTCCTGGGGAGAACCAAAAAAATCATCATTCAAATGATTTTCTGTAGGGCTAAATTCTTTCACAAAACCCTCGTTGAAAAATACTGCAAAATGAGTCGAAAAAAATAGTTCAACAGACACAAATAAAGCAAGATTCCAAATATTCTCACACACAGTTCCTAAAATAAATAGGAGAAACAAAACTATGCACAAGAAGGAACTGCAAAGCTACAGCAAAAGAGCTAGAAGGAGAGAAGAAGACACAGTGACCCATCTCACCAGGCGAGTCACTGCAAGGTTGAAATTCGCCATCATTCCGACACACTGAAGTTCCTTCACAGCAGGAATGCTCGAGGGAGGAAGGAGAATACAATTAGGGAAGAGGAGAGCCATCCAGCTTGCACCCTCCATTCAACTCAATGTCAAGAGATCAAGAGCATATAATTCTAACCAATTGCCCCCACTCTCACTTGTTTTAAGGCAGGATTTACAGGTTCCCTCTGACCTGGTTTTGTGTGTGTGTGTGTGTGTGTGTGTGTGTGTGTGTGTGTACGTACACCTAACCAGAAACACTGGTTTGTCTGTGTGAGCCTCCAGCGTTCACAGTAGGGAGGGAATGCCTCAGTCCTACATCACGAGTGTGGCTACTCCACAAAGGAAAGGCTTATTCATGCCAACGTGGTAGATTACACAGGGGGCTAAAAACCTGTGCGCTCTTGCGACAAGGCAGTTTGTGCAGTTGTGGTAAGAAAAAAAAAAAAGTATATCTCATAGGCAAAACCACAAAGCCAACTTGTGTTCAGCAGGACTGCTATTTATTATTCATCTTCTGAAAGACTAAAGAAAATGAAAATGTTCTAAGCCACACCTTGAAAAGTCATGGCAGAATGGCAAGCTGCAGCTTGATGGAAGCATTACAAAAGACATCAGGCATCACGTGTACTAATCTAAATCACCCCACCTCAGGATTGAGGACTTCCTGTATTCCTCCAGCAATGACCTCTTAAAATACCACTTTCTCTAATAAAATCTTCCTAACAAACCTCATAAACCATACATTTAAACATACATTCATAAGTGTGCTTCTTGCTGCATGTGCGTGTACTTGTGTACATGTTTTAATGTGTTTGTTCCTATTACGCTTTCCACTTCAGATTTTAAGACCTGGAAGACACAGACCATGTCTAACTTATTTTACATTCTCCCAGAATCTAACCACAAGCCTCATGAGATTGCAGTAATAAGCCCTATTAGCTGCTGACAACTAACTAGCTTTCAAGAGAAATTCACGGAAAGCCGTGTTTGCAAATGGGAGCCTTTCTGGAAGGGTTACGATCCACTTTAAGATCAATGTATGCATACACTCAATATTAATAAGCACAGAGCCCCAAAAGCATCACCAAAACCAACCTGCCTGTCTATAACCAGAAACAAAAAGGAGAAATATTATTAGAAGCCCCTGAAATAGTTATTAAAAACCATGCCCATCTCCTAAGGTTCCTGTTGAGAATAACCCCAGAATGCTACCAACATGTACTGGGGTTAGCCTAACACACACCTATGGTGTTAATTTCTTGCTATCTTGATTTCAAGCATAACCTTGTATCTGAGAATTTGGCTGTTTTCTGGAATTCTTTTTTCTTTTGTTTTATGTGGTGTTTCTTTTTTTTTTGCTTTTAAACCAAAGCAGCACCTCATATAAAACTATTTCATAGCTGCCAAGACACTGAAGTTGTAGGACTCTTTTCCAGGGCGAAGAGCCCTATGTTAGGATTAATGGGTTCACTATGTACTTGGAGTCCCCATCATGTTTTTATTCTTCGACGCTGCACTTCTAAAAAGGAGACAAACACCTCAGTACCAGTGATCTGCTAGGATGCTTTCTGGGGGAGATTAGTAAACTGACCACAACAAAAACCAGATGCAAGTGCTCCTGAAGAGCAGAGATGCTGGCACACACCAGGCACTCAGCTTACAGAAGATCAAACCAACTAATCAATGTGAAGACTTACTCATATTGTATGAACAACCAAATATCAACTGTGAAAATGTAAAACTTATAGTATTTATTTAAATACTCACGATTATACCAAAATTATAAGGTAGATTATCAAGAGGGCAGTTAGACCCATAAAGGAGATAGAAGTGTTGGTTTCCTAACAACGTGGAAGAGGGTTATATTCTCTAGCAGCTACTGATGCCCCAGCAATCAGCCAGCAACTTAGGCAGGGACAGTGTCAAGTGACACTCCAGGGCTCATGGACCAGGCCCTGCCACCACAGCCGATCCTTCCAAGAGCTCCCCAGGCACACAACTGTCTAGAGAACACACAAGACTACTCTTCTTCGCTGGGCTCAGCCTTGGGCCTTGGTAGAAAAGCAGCCACAAGTAAAAAGGCATCTAATTTACTTTTCAAAGTTATGTGTTGGACTAAGGGAAAGAATGGAACAACAGTGTTTTCTTTGCTGAATTCTGAGTATCAGACCAGCTGCATTAGAAATAACTTCATAATGGGAACCATAATGAGAACCATAGGAGATGAGTAGCACTTCTGAGATCATCTAGAATTACCAAGGCAGAAAATCACTTTTATAGACAGCCCCTCATGTTACAGAGAAATAGAAGAGCAGGACAGAGTGACACATCCATGTCCCACTAAAAGTCAGTGACCAAACCAAGACTGAACTCCACAGCTCCTCGATTTCCAGATCTGCGTTCTTTCCTCTACCCACATTGACATTCAGGGCTAAATACACTTTAATACACAAGAATCTCACATAGTACATGGCAACCTACCAGTTACCGAACCCCAGTATTGACATTTCCAGTGACTGTCACAGGCTTAGTTTAGACTAATGTTACCGCCTCTAAAACAATATTTAAGGCGCAAAGCCACACAGACAATATTATAGCCTGGGAACAAAAGATCCTCATGGCTCCTCTCAACACCAACACTTCACCCAAACATAATAATTTTTAAAGCAACTTATTCTACCCTAATTCTTGTAAGGCTAAAGAGCAAAATACTAAAACATATTTATTAAATGTAGGCTATTTAATGAAAAACCAAATCATAAGATCCAGTAAGTTTAAGGCTGGAGCATACGAGTCTCCCTTAAATGGTTTAAGTGAAACTCAAAGTTTCCCATGGTTCGTAAAAGCAACGATGGACTCACAGAGCCTTCTGTGGATGTGGAATTTGAAGGGAAGTATCTGAATTCAGTGGAAGATTAGGCATTCAAAAGTTTATTCTGGGCTTCTTAATCGGCTTGTTCCATTTCTTTGAAGAAAAATAAAATGTCTTAAATTTATCCCTCAGTCAATAAAGGGGAAATAAAAACTAATTCCAAAACAGATCACGGCACTCCAGTGCCTGATCTGGGTTGACAATCTGTGGCTGTCTTCTCAGCTGGCAGCCATAAAACCCAGCAATAAAAAGTCAAGTTTCCAATAAACTAAAAAGTTGTGGAAACCAAATGCAACTGGCATTAAGTTGTTTTAATATTTTGCTCTTTCACCAGCCTTACAAGAATTAGGATAGAATAGGTTGCTTTAAAAATTATCATGTTTGGCTGAAGTGTTATCTACTTCAAAATAATAGTGTAGTGCACTTATGTGCCATTCAATAGCAATTTTCTCCACAGAAATAAAAGTATCCAAATATTACATAAATTTTCAACTTAATGAAAATAGTCACCTTTGCCAGTAAGAAAGAAGGTGCATTTGAAAAACACAAATCAAATTTGTTCCCCAAAGGCATCCAACTCCCTACTTCTGTAGTGAGATGGTTCTACTGTGTAATATCAATACCACAACAATCTGGCTACTAATGTAAAAATCAGATGTTAAAATAAAACAAGTTAGTCATGAGCATCGCTGACAGAAAAGTACAAGAGATGGAAGTTTTCCCAAGGGAAAAAATATCAAAATACAATGGGAAACATTACTTTGACAGAAATTCACTGTATTGTAGCCACTTCCAGAATCCCATGGACCATTATGCTGAGATGCACCCCTAACGTGCACGGCTCAGAGGCGGGGGCAGCCACTCCCCCCACTGTCTCTAGCAGAGTGGACACAGCCGTGATGTGACTCACACCTGCGTCTGCACCAGCACTGAGCCTTATCGCCGAAGCTCAGGACTCACCAAACTCAGTTTCCTCCTAAAAGCTAACAGAAAACAACTGCTTCTGGGCCGTCTTCATCGCTTTTTTCCCTTCAGTATTTGCAACTCTGGGATTTGCTGATAAAGTAAGTGCAGATTTTGATCTGCAGTGTTCATGATCAGTCAGCAAATGCACAAAATTCCTATCTAATCTTCCACCTTGGAGCGGGCTCTGGGGCGGGGGGGAGGAATAAAGTAGGGAGAAAGGAGGACTTGGAAGTCCACTGCATTTGAACACACAGACCCACTTTCAGTAAAGATTCTTTATTTCTACCACTTGTTAACACTCTTTAAACCCTATACTGAAACTTATTACTGTTCAGAATTAAAATCGGTATTGCTGTGGAACATTGTTTTGAGCCCTTGTTTCATTTACTATTCATAAAGCCAAAAAGTCTCAGTCCTCGTGACTTCACAAAAAAAGAGAACATTATCTTATAAATTTCTGCCCATTTAAAAATATAACTGGTTTTGAAACTTTACTGTGGAGCAAAAACATAACTGTTATTAAAACTACTCCAAAAGAAAAATTTTTGTGAAAAGTGGATGATTAAGACCCAAATCATAAAATTCCTATGACTGCTTGTGCTTACAACGTCATTCTAATAATTTTTTTCATGCATAGAGGGCACGCCCAGAACAGAGGTCACCATTCTGTTTAATGATTCTGTTAGAGAAAAACTGATGTGGTTAGTAAGGCGTGTGGAACTTAACCTCAATTACATCAGAGTCTAATGGTCGCAGTAAACACTATTCTTAGTGAACTGTCAATCTATTACAGAAAAAATATAGAGACTACCAGAGGGTGTCTAACAGAATGGAAGGTCAAGTTACTTACCTTGTGCAGAGGGAGCACAAGGAACGCTCCTCCCCCACTCGCTTCTATGATTATGGCAACAAATCTGGGATTGACAGCGCAAAAGGAACTATCCCAGGTCACACGAGAAACCCGGATGTCATCATAGCACTGGTCATTTTTCACTGCTTGACCAAAAACATGCCGAAACTTGCTCTGTCGTACCACTCGCCTCATTGTGTCTGCAGAGGAAAAGCAGGAATTATGTTAGAATTATGCACTGAAAGTTTTACTTTTACAAATGAAAAGCTCCAAGTAGGAAAAACAGAATGATATGGCATTTTGTCTGCTCTCCTCAAAAAAGTAGCCAAATTGCAAATCCAAATTTCCCTTTGCAGCACATACCCAGAGACAACTGAGAAATGCGTCAGGGAAAGAATTACAAAGAAATGAAAAATTCCTAATTCAAGATCCAGAAACAACTCATCAGTTTTAATTTCAGTAGAAAGATGAAGGCAAAGAATAAAGGAAAGCTAGTGTTTCAGGGTTGGTTGGGAACTGACAGATAATTCACTCTAAACCCTTCCCCTTGTATAGATAAGAAACTCCAGGCTGGGGCGCGGTGGCTCACGCCTGTAATCCTAGCTCTCTGGGAGGCCGAGGCAGGCGGATTGTTTGAGCTCAGGAGTTCGAAACCAGCCTGAGCAAAAGCGAGACCCCATCTCTACTAAAAATGGAAAGAAATTAATCAGACAACTAAAAATACATAGAAAAAATGAGCCGGGCATGGTGGCACATGCCTGTAGTCCCAGCTACTCGGGAGGCTGAGGCAGGAGGATCGCTTGAGCCCAGGACTTTGAGGTTGCTTTGAGCTAGGATGACGCCACGGCACTCTAGCCCGGGCAACACAGTGAGACTCTGTCTCAAAAAAAAAAAAAAAAAAAAAAACTCCAAAGTGAAGTTATCTGGTAGATGTGAAGCTGAAAAAGCCCAAAAACAAGTTATGATTTTGTGACTTTGTCCTCAGCCTGCCAAGGTAATTTTTCAGTTTTTAAACATTTTCCCCAGATATCAGCACTCTGCTGTCTGAGAACTGTGCCTGCTCCCCAGAGTGCTTTCACAAGACCAACTCCAGGTAGGGAGGAATTCAAGAGACATGGCAACCACCTTTGTCTTCAGATCCTTCTAATCTCCTTCTAACACGGGCATAACAATCCGAGCACCCCAGGACCAACTGCCTAGCGCTCAGTGCTCCACAGTAAAAAAAACAGGAAAAATCAGCCTGAGACAGCCTGATGGATCAAGAGCCAGGTCTTAGAAAAGAGGAGCAAGTATTTCATGGAAAGCAATATGATCAAAGTGATGTTTAGGATGACAGTAAGTCTGGCAGTGGTACACTGAACGAATTAGATGGGAAGCTCAAAGTCAGGCACTGGGCTAGGAAGCCATGATAGATAATAAACCAAGCCCGAGAAAGGTCCAGAATGATCCAGCAGCAGCAGCTGGGACAGAGGAAAGGAAAAATGCAGGGGCTATTCTGGAGGGGAAGTGAAGCCAGGATGGGTTTTCAGTCAGAGTTGATCATTCACCATAGCCATAGCCACTTCCCTAGCGAACCAGGAAATCTGAGGGGAGGGGAGGGAAGGGGACACAGAACTAGGTTCCTAGGCTCCCTTATTTGTCATTTCAGACTCCAAATTCCACTAAATTGTCTGATAGACACTGGAAGCTTTGCACTTTAGGATCACCAGGCCCTGCCTGATTAAGGTTTCCTAGACTGCACCCAATGTAACTTTCCTACCTGCTACAGCAGGTCATTCTGTTCACACTGGTTAGGATACAAGGAGCCTGGATAAAACCTAAGTGGAAATAGAACATGGTTCAACCTTAACAACTCAGCTGAAAACCAGAACCCCATGTACAGAGGAGGGCTAACACTTGTCCACGCCTGCCAGATGGGACATCCAAGGCATGTGCAAAAGTGGCCTGTCTCCGACGCTGGGGCATGTGGCTGGGCTGAGGCAACAGACCCCTGGCAGGCAATCGAGCATCCATGTTCCTCAGCCCAGCTGTTGCCAGAGCTTTCCAGCTGACGACCAGGACCATACATTTCGAGTACTTGATACAGGAGATGGCAAATGATATGCTTATACTTGGCCAGGACCCTTCGTTCGTGAAACAGTAGGAATACTTCTTAAGCATGAGTTGGATAAGACAGCTTCCATGAGGTGGGGAGAACCAAAAGGAAAGCACATCTACATAAAAGCCACCGTTCAGCCGGCTGATCTCAGGATCCACTTCCCCACAACCACCTGTACAAGCACCTTTCAGCAAGGGTTTCAAAAGTAAGTTAACATAGAAGAAAAAAAGACAGCGCCATGTCAAAGAGTTAATATTCCTCCTATATAAAAAAATTAGGCAAAGGACATGAAAAGGTAATTTATAAATGAAACACAAATGGCATTTATCTCCACTCCTTCCTAAAATCCTAATGTCAGCAAAGGAATAAAAGCAGGTATAAACACCAAAGGACAAGAGAACTGGAAAGCAGCCTACAAGTGGGCAACTGTGACAATGAACTCCTGGATGATGCAAAGCTGTCATGCATGTGTAACTGACTAAAGTGTGCATGCGTGTCCTCTACTCAGCTGAATGTCTCAGGGAGCTCACCAGAAGAACGCCAAGGCCCACTGTGAGCAGCCAGAACAGTCAGAGGAGAAACTGTATGTCTCTGAAGACAGGGATGTGGGAGAGGGGCTGCAAAGAGAATTGACTGAAAGCCTAAATTAGGGACAGCCGGACAGTCAGATCCCCTCCCTCCAGGGCTGCACAGCCAGGATACTGGCCTGCCCTCTCAGCAGAAGCCAGGAGAGGCCAGAGTGCAGGCCTCTGGACAGGATGACACTCAGCACAAGAGAGCACAGGTGAAAGCAGGTGCCGTACTGACAAGCCGGTTCTGTACAGTGGGGACTCCAGTCCCTTGTTCCTCCTGGCTCCCAAGATACCACCCACCCCTCCCTGCAGGAGATCAGATCTCACTGCCCAGGTGAGGTCCACACTCAACATGTCCTTCCTCCCACACAGGCATCAGGTCACCTTTTAGAGCCTCGCTTTTTTTTTTTTTTTTTTTAGACAGAGTCTCACTCTGTTGCCTGGGTTAGAGTGCCATGGCATCAGCCTAGCTCACAGCAACCTCAAATTCCTGGGCTCAAGCAATCCTCCTGCCTCAGCCTCCCGAGTAGCTGGGACTACAGGCAGGCGCCACTGTGCCCAACTAATTTTTTCTATTTTTAGTTGTTTGGCTAATTTCTTTCTATTTTTAGTAGAGACGGGGGTCTCGCTCTTGCTCAGGCTGGTCTCGAACTCCTGAGCTCAAACAATCCTCCCGCCTCAGCCTCCCAGAGTGCTAGGATTATAGGTGTGAGCCACCACACCCGGCCTAGAGCCTCACTTTTAAATGCGAATGGATATTTGAGAAAGGCCTCTAACAATTTTTCCTCTTCACTCAAATAAGCTAGATACCATCTAATCTCACAGCAATACAAAGATTAATATAAATATGTAAAGTGCTTAGACTGTCTTCATTGAAAGACATTACATAATACAAATCTGCTGGCTGACTTACATACTAAAATACCTTAAAAAGACATTTCTATATTATGCATAGTGACAACTTATTTTCATCCTGACTACATCTGGGCAGAATAATACAGAAGTTCTTCTGCTACGATCACGGAGTAGAATTTTAGCTACAGAGCAGAGGGAGGGAGAAAAGCCAGTGCTTTTCACAGCGATGTGCTGAGTCAGGCATGTCAAAGTGGAGCTTGAAGGGCAGTATGAGCCCATTCTCTTCCAAGGTCAAACCTGATCTGGGCTCAGCTATGCACATGTGGCACAGCTGCTTTTGCTACACAGAATGTCTCAGACCCTCCAGGCACACAATAAAGAATAGCAATTAAGAGAGCAAGCTCCAGTGTCAGACAGCATTGTGAGTGAGAAGCACAACTGTGCCATTTACTTCCTGGCCATGGTTCAGTAGGGCAAGTCACTGAATCCCGGAAGTGTCAGATTCTGTATGAGTACAACGCATATAAAGTTGAAGTGATCATTAAATGAGCAAGTGGTGATAAGACGGTGGCAGGAGATTACTATGTTATAGCACCTTGTATGGTTAGACACACAAAACAAATCACTTCATAAATGTTACCTACTGTTGTCATCTAGTAATTGATATAAAATAACCTGGATTCAAATCCTAGCTCTGCCACTTAATAGCAAATTTCTTAACCTCTCTGAGCCTCTGTTTCCTGATCTATAAAGGGAATGATACCTATAATAAGAATTTAAACCAATATCTGAGAAAGTCCAGTTTCAGATGGCTTCATTGCTGAAGTTCATCAAACATTTATTTAAAGAAAGGGAGGGAACACTTCCAAACTAATTGTATGAGGCCAGTATTACCCTCATACCAAAACCAAAGACATCACGAGAAAATTACAGACCATTATCTCCTATGAATACAAATGCAAAAATCCTTAACAAAATACTAGCAAACCAAATCCAGCAATGTAGAAAAAGAATTATGCACTATGATCAAGTGGGACTTATCCCAAGGATGCAACATTGGTTCAACATCTGAAAACCGATTAATGTAACACATTGTATCAGTGGAATAAAAAACAAAAATCACACAATCACCTCAGACACAGAAAGAACATTTGACAAAATCCAACACACTTTCATAACATAAAACTCAATAAATTAAGAATAGAAGGGAACATCCTCAACCTGATGAAGGGCATTCACGAAAATACTACAACACAATATTCAATGGTAAAAGATGCTTTCACCCTAAGATCAGAAATAAGACAAGGATGTCCACTCTTGAAACTTCTGTTCAGGATTGTAATACAGGTTCTAGCCAGGGAAACTAGGCAAGAAAAAGGAATAAAACACATTCAGATTGGAAAAGGAGTAAAGCTATCTCTGTACACAGATGACCTGATCTTATATACAGAAAATATATATAAGGAATCTATTAAAAGAACTATTAGAACTAATAAGTTCAGCAAGGTTGCAGGATATAAGATCAATATACAAAAATCAATTACATTTCTATACAGTCATAACAATTCAAAAGTGAAATTAAGAAAATAATTCCACTTACAATAGCATCAAAAAGAATAAAATAGTTAGGAATAAAACCTAATCAAGGAGGTGTAAGACTTGTACACTGAAAACT